AGGCGTGGTGGATGGTGTGGTTAAGATTACGGCACTGGGCAAGCTGGATCTGGGATCAGTACTCGAGGGACTGGGAAATCTGCAGGATGCACTCGGGAACATTATTGGTGTTGCAGGCACTGTTTACGAAGGAACAAGTTCTCTGATGGAGAGTGGTCAAGGAGTCATGGAGAGTTTGAAGGAGAGATATGGAGCCGGCCAGAAGAGACCCTGGTATGCTGCCATTCGTGCCGCCTATGCTCTTGCAGAAGCCGGTCAGTTGAAAGATCTCAATTGTCTGATCTGCGAGGCTCCTTGTCGTCGTGACCCCTTGTTCCAGTGGGGAATCTGCCAGCTGTTGGGTGAGGTTGCGATCGATCTCATTTGGTCAGCGACCTCTCGCCAGCAAGCCAATGAACTACTTGGTCGCCTCTACAAGAATGACCCGGAGTGGGGTAGAGATGAAAGTGTCAAGGCGTGGATGCTGACCATCATCGACAAGGTGGGATCTATTGCCGACCAGGAGGTTGCCGCTAATGCTCTGGCTCTGAAGCAGGAGCTCTCTTCAGGCGATACCCCCGCAACCCGCCACCCTTACCCATTGAGGTCTCGTCTGCCGATCCCAGCCACTTCCCCGATCCTTGCAAAGGTCCAGGACATCCCCTACCTCGAGTACGAGCTGTACAAGCTTCGATTACAGCGACTCCAAGAATACGATGAACGAGCGATTTACGTCCTTCCAGAAGCAAAACCATCGCTCCTGGCCAAGGATGATGAATTGTTTCCTCTGTTGGAGAAGGTACTGGAGTTTCTTGCCAGTGACTGTCAGGTCATGCTCATTCTGGGCGACTCTGGTTCCGGAAAGTCGACATTCAATCGATACCTGGAGCACTTGCTTTGGAAGGAGTACAAGCGAGGTGGGCCAATCCCACTTTTCATCAACTTACCCGCCATCGACGAACCCCAGAACAACATGGTCGACAAGCAGCTCCAGTTTCTCAACTTTGATGAGGATCAGATCATGGAGCTCAAACTGCACCGCCAATTGATTCTCATATGCGATGGATACGACGAGAGCCAGCAACTCGTCAACTTGCACAGGACCAACTCACTTAACCAGACCGGACAGTGGGACACCAAGATGGTCATCAGCTGCAGATCCCAGTACCTCGGACGGTCATACCAGGATCGTTTCAAGCCTCAGCCTACCGACCGATATAAGTCGACCCCTCAGCGTGTCTTCCAGGAAGCCGTCATTGCTCCCTTCTCCGAGGAGCAGATCGAGGACTATATCGAACAGTATGTTCCTCTCGAACCAAGAACCTGGAGCACCGAAGACTACATGGACAAGTTGACTACGATCCCTAACCTCATGGATCTGGTCACGAATCCGTTCCTCCTCTTACTCGCGCTCGAGGCACTTCCCGATGTCACCAAGGGCAACCAAGACCTGTCCACAATCAAGATTGTCCGTATCCAACTCTACGACACCTTTGTCAATCACTGGCTCAATGTCAACAACCGACGGCTCCAAAGCAACCCCTTATCCAAGCAGGATTACGACATGTTGGGAATGCTAGAGGATGCGGGATTTGAAGCTATGGGCGTGGACTACTGTACGAGACTGGCATCGGCGATGTTTGAGAAACTGAACGGAAAGGCTGTCGTCCAGTATCTCCACCTCAAGGACAAGACGACGTGGAAAGTCGAGTATTTCGGTCCGGACCCAGAGGTGCGACTGTTGCGAGAGGCTTCTCCAGTGACCCGTTCAGGAACCCACTTTCAGTTTCTTCACCGGTCGATGCTGGAGTATTTCTTTTCCTGTACCGTTGTCCGTTCCAGTACCTCTGTGCCTGTTGACGAATGCGCTCCCCAATCGACACCCGACTCTTCCGACGTCCAATCGCTCGACCCCATGTGCCCTTTGTTCACGCGCAACCTTCTCGACGAGCCCCCCGTTATACAGTTCCTCAGCGAGCGAGTGCAGGAGAATCCTATCTTCAAGGGCCAGCTCCTCGAGGTCGTCGAGAGGACCAAGTCTGATGTCTCATTGGGAACCGCGGCAGCCAACGCCATCTCCATCTTGGTCAGAGCCGGCGTGACCTTCCATCGACACGATTTCCGAGGCATTCGGATTCCAGGGGCCGATCTCTCCGGTGGGCAGTTTGATTCGGCGCTGTTTCAAGGGGCTGACCTCAGGGGCGCCAATCTTGGAATGAGTTGGCTACGCAAGGCGGACTTCAGTAACGCGCTGATGGAGGGTGTTCGATTCGGGGAACTGCCGTACTTGGAGGAAGACGACGATGCTTGGTCATGTTGCTACTCGCCTGATGGAAGAATGCTTGCGGTGGGTCAGCGACGTGGAGCTATTAGCTTATACGACATATCAACCTGGAAAAAAATCCGCTCGCTTCTCGGACATGACGGCGACATCGAATTTTTGGCGTTCTCACCCGACAGCCGGTGGCTGGTATCTGGGAGTGAGGACAAAGCAGTGCGAGTGTGGGATTGCAGCAGCGGTGATCCTCTTGCGACCATGAACGGACACACGCGCAACGTGTTATCGGTGGAATTTTCTCCTTGCGGCAAGAAAGTCGCGTCAGCCAGCCTGGACAAGTCGGTACGATTATGGGACTCGGTGACCGGAGAGCCGCTGTTTGTGCTGGAGGGTCATAAGGGCGCTGTCAACAGTGTCAAGTTTACACCGGATGGACGTCGGCTTGTGTCGTGTGGTGACGATAAGACGATTCGATTCTGGGATGTAGAGACAGGAGCGCCAGGGGATGTTTGGGAGCTGGACCTTGGACCTGTCGTTTGTCTCGACATTTCACCTGATGGTCACCAGCTCGTATCTGGACATCACGATGGCACTCTGAGGCTCTGGAGCACCGCCTCTGGGTCAGCAGGACTTGACTTACATGGCCACACTAACGCTGTCGTGAGGGCTTTGTTTTCCGCCGATGGTCAACGGATCGCTTCAGCTAGCTCTGACTCCACCGTCAAAATTTGGGATGTGTCATCTGGCGTCCTCGTCTCCGAGTTCAACGGCAATAATTCCCTCGTCGATATTTCTTTCTCGTCGAACGGACAACATCTCGCTTCCACCGATGGTTCCAGAGAGGTTCGTCTGTGGGACGCGAGCTCAAGCGGATGCAGCCTTGGACAACGTGGACATTCCCATTTCGTCAGAACAGTCGCTTATCTACCTACTGGGCAGTTTATCTGGTCAGGAAGCATGGACAAATCCGTGTTAGAGTGGGACGCTCGAACAGGTACCGTGGGATCTGCCCATGCTCTTCCCATCGAGTTCGTATATTCAATCGCATTTTCACCGAACACGAAGCACACGGCGGTCGCGCACGGAGATGAGAGTATCCAATTGTGGGACCTTGGAACCGGCGAACTTGGACCTGCCCTTGAAGGACACACTGGGATTGTGGTGAGGTTGATATTTTCACCATGTGGCAAGTGGATTGCGTCTGCTAGCAAGGACAAGACTGTTCGGTTGTGGGAGCCGGAGAGTACCGAGCAGGGACACGTTTTAGCCAACATGGATTGCGGTACTTTCAGTAACTGTACTGTGACATTCTCGCCGATAGGACAGCAGCTTGCGGCCGGCGATGTGGATGGTACAGTGAATATCTTCGACACACAATCAAAGACGCTTTTCAGGACAACAACTTTGGAGGGGGAGAGAATTAGTGCCTTGGCCTATTCCCCAAACGGTCAGGAGCTTGCTATTGGCGCCAATGGCCTTTTATTCTTCTGGGACCTTCAGTCGAAGGAGCCCGACCTCAAACTGGAAGTTGACCCTTCTGGTACTGATTGCATCGCTTACTCACCCTGCGGAAGATGGATCGCCTGTGGAAGTTACGGCAACACCGTCCAACTCTGCGGTCGCTACTCGAGTGGTATGGGGGCCGAGTGTGTTGTTGCTGTCGTCGATGGATTCCTTGGCCTCGTTACCGATATCGCCTGGAACCCGGTTGAGCCGCTGGAGTTTGTCACTAGTAGTAATGATCGGTCTGTTCGTGTCTGGCGGATCTCGAAGAGCAATGACAGTGATGGCGTAGTGTCTGTTGACTTGATCTGGGGATCCGACATCGGAATGCTTGGCACGTTCGGCATGATACTCGAGGGCGTTACTGGTCTTGACGCCACCAACCGGAAACTGTTACTCCAGCGGGACGCCGTCGATGATACATTGACCTCAAAGGCAAATGAAGCGGAAGTAGGTTCCTCTTGTGATTAAGTTGATGGATTCAAGAGGCATTCTTTTTGCTTAGGCGCAAACAGGGCCGCGGCTTCCTCTGTACACTTGTTTTTTCAATACACAAAACCACTTCTTTATTTTTTCACTTCTCACAATGCAAATACATTTCAACTTAGACCGAATTGAAAGAGAGGAGAGATTGCTGAAGAGGTCTGGGCAATGAATAGAATGGGAGTCATGGCCATGTACCCAACACTCGACGATACCTGTCATCCTTGAAATGACGATGGATGAACCGACACTTCTTCACACGGTTACTGCGGCATTGGTATGAAGGGGGTTTCTAAGCTCAAATATTAATACAGCGACGTCTTTCTCATGTTGTGTGGTTAATCGTCTAACTTCTTTCTTTTTCCTTTATTTTCGTTCCTTACACCGTACTCAACAAATACCACAGACACCACCGTCATCACCATGTGAGAGCTCGACGCAATAACAGCACCAACAATTCATATCACCAATGCCGTTAACAACGCAATCTACAAACTAAGATGTCGCATGTCTCCGGGCAAATGCCAACACGAAAATAAGTTTCTGCAAATACGACCTCTTAATGGTCGTTCTTTCATTATTTTGGCCTCTGTCGATTGTACTCAGGTATGAACCCATATGTTGAAAACGCGATTTTCTTTGTTTTCTTGAGCTTTTATTCTCTGTAGTATTTCGTTTTTTGTGTATCTGTCTACAAGGTTGAGAAAAAAGAGAGGAAAGTAACTCTACCAGTCTCCCATCCCACCCATCCACCCGCTCAAAAGACAAATATCTTCTGCATCAAGAACGCCTCTCCCTCCGCACCATAAACACTCAAATCCATATCATGATCCGCAACAACCTGGAACCCGCCCGCGTGCTGCCAGAACGGTTTCGTGCCCTGCACACTCACGAGGACAATCTCCTTGAGGTTTGGCGCGCCCTTTCTTCTCCTGTGCCTGTGTCCGTGGGCGTGACTGCGGGTCTTTTTCGAACCCCGACGACCTCCACGACGACGACGCGTTGTTGATGTTTCCTTCGATGCTGTGTTGTCGTCGCTGTTGGCGCTCTCGGAATGACTTCCACTACCCTCCTCCTCCTCTTCCTCAGTATCTACCAGATCCCCACTCGCACCCTCACCAGCACCAGGAGCACCCTCTCCTCCGTGAACATCTCGGTTCGAGACCAAAGACTCCTCAAGAGCTTTCCACAGCTTCGAAGCCAGACCCCGGCCCCTCCAACTCGGGTGGATCGCACAATCATGGATGTAGTACTTCTCCATCCACTGGTCATGGTCATACTTTGTCTCTCCCTCGGACTCCTCTTCGTCATCATCCTGAAGGTGGTCCTTGCCAGCAGCAGTTCCGCCGCCTTCCAATCGGATTCGCTTCTGCTTTGAGGACGCCTCACCCTTCTTCTTCTCCTCCTCCTCGGTGGCGGTAGCGGCGTGGGCGCCCATGCGGTGGAGGGTGACGGATTCGCGGCTGTAGGGATGTGAGAATAGGTAGCCGACCGGTTCTTCCCACTGGAACAAGACCGTCGTATCCTCCTCCTCCTCTTCTTCCTCTCCCCCAGCCTTCTCTGCAGGTGCACCCGTGATCGATGACGCAGCAGCATCACCTCCACCCCCTGCTGACTTTGAATCATGTCCATGCCCATGTCCATGGCGAGCATGCGGGACATCCAAACCCGTGGATCGCTTATCAGGCAAAGGAGGGCCATTATCCTCATCATCGGTCCCCTCCAAGATATCAGGCGTCCGTGCGCGCACAATATCAACATGTTCAACCGTTTCTCCTCCAATCGACGTCGTAGTCGAGGTCGTAGTCGTCGTCGTGCTAGACCCATCCGGTCCCGTCTCTGTAATCTCCACAACCGAAATCCCATGCACAACCTCCCCCTCCCCCTCCCCCTCCTCCTCCTCCTCCTCTCCCTCTATCTCTACCTCCTCAACCTCCCCCTCATCCCCTTCCTCAGCACCAACCCAAGTCGAAGTATCATCATGCGTAACAACAGAATAAGTCGCGAGCGCAACAAAGTTCCCCGCAGGGTAGGCCTCCATCTTTGACCGAAAAACGTCCTCAGACTCGTGAAAGTCTGTCCGACCAGGGTAGGCGAGGACTTGGATCTTGTGGATTGCGGGAAGGTGCTCGGGGCGGGCGCGGATTATTGAGAGCGATTGGAGGGTCCGGGTGGAGAGGTCTAAAGGTGGGGACCAGGATCTGTCTGACATATTGGGGCTGGTAGATTTTTTTAGGGTAGGACTTGGTGTGTGGCTGCAGGAGTGTAGGTGTGAAGGGTGTACGCGTGAGCGTGAGAGAGAGCTGTGCGCGTTATGTGTGTCAGGAAAGAAAAAAAAGTGGACGAGTGTTGCTTTTCTTTGGTAAGTGAAGAAGAGAAGAATTGATGAGAGTGAGAGAGGTATGGCGTAAAAGAAAAGGGTGGGAAGAGGTGGTTCGAAAAGAAGCAGAGACATGAAAAAAAAAATGTCGCACCTATGGATGGGCGCATGTATCAGTAAGATTTACGTGATCTGATCTGTACTGTGACGTATTCATATCGGGGGGGGGGATTTTTTTTTCTACGGTTGTTGTTTTGATTTTTTTCTATGCCCTTTTTTTGCAAACATATTTTTTTTCTTTCTTCCCCCTCTTCCTTATCCTCCTTCCTCCCTTCACTTAAAGTACACTCACTCCTGACACGACGCCTCTGATAACAAACAACAAAGGTAACACCTCAACTCCATCCACCCAATCCTTTATCTATTTCGTCGCCATCCCTTTCCATCCTGCTTATGATGTATCGTTATTCCGCGTCTAAACAACAATGTTGATTAAACAAACGTGCCTTCCTTGATCTGAAGCAACAACCTCCTTCAAAAAGAAGCTCTTTTCTTTCTTGTCATAAAACACAAAACTAATCCTTGTGCTGTTGTCTCGATTGATAGGTATTTTCGTATTGTATGCCCGGAACTATAGTTAATGAAACGAGGAATGACAATAATAAACAAAATAAAATGAACACGCCAGAGGCAAAATGTGAAGCGTTGACTAGTTTTTTAATATGGATGAAAAGATTCTATGAGTCGTGAGAAAGAGGGAAAAAAGTGGATATCAAGATGGCCTAACGGAAAAGGCAGGAAGGGGTCATGTCGCACAGCTGGTATGCATATACTGCATCCATCTGTCAGTTCGTGCTGTCATAAACATGAAAGAAAGATAAGGAAAAAAAATAGAAACTTGTTTAAAGAGTCTCGCGGCAGGCCTTTAAGCACTCCATAAGACCCTTGATCTGGGCAGTCAACGCCTGGCACTCCTTGGGACTCTCAGCGACCTCCAAAGCAAGGCGATATGCCTCTAGTTTGACCAAGATCGTCGCCATAGTCTTGTGTGTTGCCGCCACAAGTGCCTGCACCTCAGGCGAGAGTGGTGCTGGTGGTGGTGGAGCAGGTCCGTTGTGTAATTGTTGTTGTTGTTCAGATCCAGTTCCGTTCATAGACGCGTGTTGCTGCTGCTGTTGATGAAGGTGACTGGCTCCATTAGCATGGTAATTAGGATTGTTGTAGCGAGGAGGGCGAATATTCTTCAACTCTGGACGTTCACCCTCGGAGGGATGGTATTCTGAAGAGGTCGAGTAGGTCGATGTGGGGCGCGATCCTGCTGGTGGGGCTGGTCCTGAAGGAACTGGTGGGAGCGATCTGCTCGAGTACTCTCCTCCCTTACGGATAATCTGAATATGTTTGCGCGCCTCTTCATCCTCTGATGCCAGCTTCTAAATTAATCCACCACAAAATAATTATCCCATCAGCGTCCATGTCACACAAGTCATAACACACTAACGTCAAAAAAACAAAAAAAGAAACAAGGAAGACAAAATTACATCAAGATCTTCGCTGAGGTGCTTGCCGAGAATCTGCTGGCTGGCAGATGCGAGGCTGGAGGGCATAGGGGCAGCAGGCGGGAGAATAATAGAACCAGAGACTCTTCCAGCAGAATCGCGCCGGCTGCGACCGAACGAAGGGCTGGCCAAAGGAGATGATGCCCTAATACTGGGAGATGTCACTGAAGTGACAGCCTGGTGTTGTGGTGGGAGGGCAGGCGAAGGCGTCTGGGGAGGAGGAGGCAAGGAGGTAGGTGCTGGTGGGAGAGGAGGCAATGGTGCCGAGACGGGCTCAGGTGCGACGATCGTGTACTTTCCATGCTCGAGATCTTGTTCACGCTGAAAGTAGTTGTCGCACACCACACAGTACTCTTTCTTTTCACGGTTTCTCAACAAAGGTACCTGTCAGTGCGTAATCATCGTTCAGTGAGGTTAGTATCCCTGTTGAGGGTAAACAAAAATTTGCCCTCGAAGAAAAAAAAAACTTCTGGGCAGGGGCACTTACACCGTGGCAGGAGAGGTTGGGGCAGGGGTCTTGCAACATGGCCCATCCTTGAAGCATCTTTTGACCGATCAGACGGGAAGCACGCTCGCTCTGCTCGCGCTTGGACTCGCGCTCCTTGACTTCGTCCTCCGAGGGCTTGAACACTTCCTCCTCGGCATCCTCGAAATCATCGTCGCTTTCGACACCAGTCTTGTCGCCGTCGTCTACATCATCCTCCTCGTCTTCAGCTTCCTGAGCCTGCTCGAGAGGTTGCTCCTGAGTTGCCTCCTGTTGTTGTTGCTGCTCATCTTCTTGTTTCTCTTCTTGTTCTTGAGTTTGGACCGGAGGCTGCTCCTGTTCTTGAACTGGTCCCTGAGGCTGCTCCTGAGCAGTCTCAGTTGGTTGTTCGATCTCCAAAAGGCTCTGGGTGTCTGCGTCAGGCTCATCTACTTCGAAAGCCTCGACAGTGACCTCGCTCTCGATCTCCTCGCTGTGTTGCTCTTGTTCCTCAACTGGCTCCTCGGTGGTGGCAGCAGCAGTCTCCTGATCCTTTTGTGGAGCAGTCGTAGCAAGGGGTTCCAAGACCTCGGTTACGACTGATTCAGTGGCAACGGGAGGAACTGGACCAGTAGGAGGGCTGGGAAGAGGTCCCGACGTGATTGCTGAGGGTGGGGGAGGTGGAGGAGTTGAGGGTGGTAGAATGGGGCCCGAGAGGATGACTGAGCTCTGAGGCGAACGCTTTATGTCTCTTGGCACAAGTGTAGGAAGCAGAGTCCCAGCTGGTGGGGGAGGGGACAGAGGCAGGGCAGGGGGAGCGGTTGAGGGTGCAGGTGGTGGAGGACCTGGAGGTCTAGGGATATTAGCGGGTTTGAGACCCAATGGTCCGGATGTAGTCTTTGCTCCAGTGGGAGGAGGAGGAGGGGTTCCGGGAGGCATTGGCAGAGGGGTTGTTGCGCGAGGGGGGGGAGTCGAGGGAGGTTGAGGAGGAGCACCTCCAATGCTCCTGGCGCCAACGGGACGAAGTGCGCGACGTGCTTCAAGCATGGGATCCAAAGTCGAAGATCGGTGATTTTGAGGCGAGGGAGGGCGGAAGGGTCCTGGGGCAGGGGTCGAAGGGAGGGAAGGAAGGGCAGAGGTGGGAGCAGGTGTTGTCATGGCCGCAACTGTAACTGCAGGTGGGGGAGGCGGGAGAGTTGTTGCTTGTGCTGGGGAAGATGCTGGTCCTGGTGCTGTTGTTTCTGTAGTGGTAGTAGTTGTAGTTGAGACTTCCTCGGGGTCGACAGGGGGGTTGAGTTGACAGTTGACGCAGATCTGACTTGTTGCTTCACGGTTGCGCATCAACGGTGTCTAAAACCAGTTGATGAATAAAGAATGAAGGGAGTAGGTGAGTGATGAGGTGAGAAGAGAATGAAAGACTGAACGAGGGTAAGAAAAAAAAAAAAAAAAAAAAAAAAAAAGATGATCGGGGTTCATCTTGCCCTGGCTTTGTTTTTAGCAGACGGAGGGTTACACACGATAACACACGATAACACACGATAAAGGGACAATAAAACAAGGGGAATGGTGGATAATTGTCGCTCATACGCCTGTTGGCCGTTGGGGCAGAAGGAGCACACAGGGGGTCATGGTAGGAGTTTCTACTCTTGTTGTTGTATGCTCACTTCACTTCAACCCCACTCTTTTTGCTCAACACTCTCACTCTCAGACTCGCCGCAAGTAAGCAAGCGAGAGTGAAAGAGACACAACAACCGCCACAGAAAACGTGAGCCATTCTTGCCCTTTTCCTAGTGTCGAGACTAACGACGCCTCGAAAGGCACTAGACCTAAAGGACGCAGCAAAACCGGAATCGTTGGTGTTCAATCAACTTACATTGCAGTCCGGACAACCATCATTCAGCATGGCCTAAAGTGAAAGAGGAGAAGCAGAAGGAGTTAGTTGTCTCCAGGAATCCAGGGGTGCCCAAGAGGTTGCCAAAGCCGATAACTTTTTTTTTCTTGTTATAAATAAATTGGCTCAAAGGGGTCCCTGTCCACTTACCCAACCCTGCAGCATGTAGTTGCCCATTGCGGCCGAGACTTTGTCGGTGTCCATTGTGAATGTGTTTGTGAAGGAAATGTGTTCGAGTGAAGTAGAGGGAGAGTGTGTGTTGTTGGATGTTGAGAGTGGATGGAATGAAAGAGTAGATCTGAGGGGGGGGGGGGGGGGGAAGGAAGGATGGTGGCAAACAAAACAAAGTGAAAAGAAAGGGAAAGGTGCGCGAAAAGAGGAAAACGAAAAAATTAAAATGAAAGGGACAAGAGAAGAAGAGAAAAAGAAAGTTAAAGAGCACAACACAGGGCAGAAGGAGATGAAATCAACGAGGGGCACCTCCTGAACGAACACGCACACCCAAATCATTATCTGAGCTAAGCACTCCTTGACAGACACAAACGAGGAGGAGAGATATTCCGCCATACAAACACAACAGAGATGGGGAGAACGAACAACGACACTGAGAAAGAAAGAGAGCGATGGGGAGTCGCTAAATTGCTTTTGGTTGACCATCCATGATGGATAATGGCTAAACTACCGCGTGTGTATATGATGGGGACAGCATAAGAGATTAAAAACGTACACAGTACTCTCTCGCACATGCACACCCATCTGCTCCACATTTCTCGGGGCATATAAATCAGTCTCTGTGAGTGTATGAATGCTATGCACATGTACCTATCTACCAATGCCTGCTCACCAGCTATGTACGTACTCTGACTTTTGGATCAGCCATACCATTGACTGCGAACAAACAAAAGACGAGTGAAACGAGGTAGAGCTACTTCTTCATCTTGGATGATGGACAACGCCCTCGTTGCATCCTTGTTAACAAGCGGGTCATTGTTGACAGCAATCACAATTAAAATAGAAGGTGGAGGGAAGTCAGATCCTATTTTTGCAAGTACCATTTGCATCGTGGGTTGAAATATGAAGTTCATGAAGGACATACAGAGAGAATGGACGTCAACAAAGGCGCTGACCAGCCAGACATGTATTTCTTCATTTCATGTTAAAGAAGAGAGGGCGGGAAGCCAAAAATAAACACCATTAGCGTTCATGCTCCTCCTTCCTTCACCATCACCCTCGTTCTCTTTTCGCCTTCTTCTCCACCTCTCACACACCCTTGCAATTGTGTGTGTGTGTGTGTTTTTGTTTGCTCTCTAGAGGTATCTATCTCCATGTTGTATGCCCAAGTAGCCATTCATGTCTTGTTGTTGAGGTCGTCGATCGATGCTTCTAGCCTCATTCTTGTGTGCTTCTTTTTCATTTGTCCGTTGCTGTGAGGTTAATTAAGAGATTCAAGAGGGGTCGGTTTCTTAGTAATTGCTCCTCGTAGATCGGGCCACTGCTTTTCACTCTTGCTCTCTCTCTCGCTCTCTTCCCCTTTCCAAACGAGCACAATCCGAGGTCTAGATCAAAAAAGAAACATAATCCTTCTTAAGAAAGAAGATTGCAAAAGTTAATAATGAAAGAAAAAAAAAAAAAAAAAAGAGAGAGAGCGTGGAGGTGTCAGTTGGTCCTTTTTATGGCTTTCCTCAGACTTGATAATCTCTCCATCGGAAAAGAGAACCCACTCGGGGACTGTTTTGTTAATTTTTTTTTTATTTGGCGGCGTAGTTTCTCTATCATTCCTTCCGCTGTGTGGTCCCTATGTTACTTTCCCACATGCCATAATAGACATGGCTTCCTTTTTGTTTCTTTTTCTCTCTTTCTCCCGTTAATGACAGAGTGGTGTGCCATAGCATGTCATGTCCTAGTCAGTCGCTCCTTGCTCTTGTTCCTTAATCTACAAGCAAGCAAGCTATCAAGTATGTGTCCAGTATGCATACCAGTTGCATACAGCCCCCATTCACAGGACCAGAAAAGCATAAAATTTCTTGGTGGCTTTGCTCTCACCCAGGAGTTGAGTCAGGAAATCGCATCTCGATCAAAAGGACGGACACACAGGGACAGGACAGGACAGGACAGGACAGGACAGGACAGGCGACTCACTTTTGTTTACCGTACAAAATAAAAAAGTCTTTTTCTTCTTTTTTCTTCTTTTCCCATCACCGCCCACCAACAACCCCACCAACAACATCACCACCATGGCCGATAACGCTACTCCCGCCCCTGCCGCCGCTGAAGAGGTCAAGCTCTACAAGGACGAAGTCACCGGAGAGATGATCTCCAAGTCGTACGTTTCCTTTTTCCTTTTCCTCTTCTTTTTTTTTTTGACTCTGGCTCTTTTTACGCTGGCTCTTGTTTTCGGGACGAATCAGCTCTGTTGAGTTGTCGTGATGCTGCTTCTCGCTACCTCCTTGCGTTGTGTTGTTGATGCAAGTTGCTTCTTTTCTTTGTCCGCTTGTTCATCGAAGCAATGAAGCGAAACGAAAGGCAAGGAACAACAAAGCAGTTGCATAGCACACACACACGTTCCACCAGTCCCTGTCGACCTTTTGCAGGACCTGGCGACTCTTCAGCGGATCAAAAAATCAAAAGGATCACGCATACATTGGTACACTCATGACTTCCGGAGTACACCTTTGCTAACTCGCCCTCTTCTTCCTTTCCATTACGACCGCGTTGAAAACCAATTGAAATAGGGAGCTCAAGAAGCGTCTGAAGAACAGAGAGAAGGAGGCCAAGAAGGCCGAGAAGGCTGCCAACGCCCCCGCTCCCGCTGAGTCTGCTGTCAAGAAGACCAAGGAGGTCTCTGCCGCTGAGGAGGAGGAGAACCTGAACCCCAACGTAAGCATCTTGTTTTTTTAGGCTGATCAGACAGTTTGATATTTGAACGTGCTATGCCACTGAGAAAGGGAGAGCGGGCGCAGGGGTAGAAGCACATTTTGAATGGGACGGACGTAAGGATGTGATAAGAACACTCTTGCTCATTACAATTGATCGCAATCAGGCGGCGTTATGTGTGAACAAGAGGCATGCTAGGCATTCCACTGACAAAGGATAACAAGGACCAGGTCTTTAAGGTTGATCAGACAACAAGGCTATGAATTAGGCAATGAGGAGATCGAGTTGTAGGAAAATACGATACACTCAGACACAGAGCACTGAGTGGAAATGGAGAACACGAGTGACAAAAAGGCTAACGCACGCTCAATCTTCCCTTCCCTTATGACCATCTAGCAATACTTTGAGATCCGCTCGAAGAGGGTGAACACTTTGCGCGCCAACAAGGAGACCTACCCTTACCCCCACAAGTTCCAGGTCTCAATCTCGGTGCCCGCATTCATCGAAAAGTACAACGGCTTGAAGGCTGGTGATGTCGAGGAGGAAATTGTCACGGTTGCCGGTCGTCTCCACAACATGCGCACCATGGGCAAGCTCCGCTTCTACGATCTCCACTCGGACGGTGTCAAGATCCAGATCACTGCCCAGGCCCAGGATTCCGAGCGTGACTTCAACGAGGTCCACGACTCGCTCCGCCGTGGAGATATTGTCGGTGTCCGTGGTGTTGCCGGTCGCACCAAGCCCAAGAAGGGTGGCGACGGTGAGTTGTCGATCTTCCCCAAGGATATCACCCTCCTTGCCCCTTGTCTCCGCATGTTGCCCACTACCCATTTCGGCTTCAAGGACCAGGAGTCCCGTTACCGCCAGCGTTACCTGGACTTGATCATGAACAACCACGTTCGCGACATCTTCAAGACCCGCGCCAGGATCATCAACTACCTCCGCAAGTTCTTGGACGATCAGGATTTCTTGGAGGTCGAGACCCCCATGATGAACATGATTGCCGGAGGCGCCACTGCCAAGCCCTTCGTCACTCACCACAACGACCTCAACCAGGAACTCCACATGCGTATCGCCCCCGAGTTGTACCTCAAGATGCTCGTTGTTGGAGGTTTGGACCGTGTCTATGAGATTGGTCGCCAGTTCAGAAACGAGTCGATGGACTTGACCCACAACCCCGAGTTCACCACCGCAGAGTTCTACATGGCCTACGCCGATATGTTTGATGTCATGGAGATGACCGAGGCTCTCCTCGTCGGAATGGTCAAGGCCATCACTGGTAACACCAAGATTGTCTACCACCCCCAGGGCAAGGACGGTCCCGCCATGGAGATCGACTTCACTCCTCCTTTCAGACGTATCAACATGATCGAGTACCTCGAGGAGAAGCTCAACGTCAAGTTCCCTCCCGCAGATACCCTCCACACCGCCGAGGCCACCAAGTTCTTGTCGGATCTCTGCATCAAGCACCAGGTCGACTGCAGTGCTCCCCGTACCTCTGGCCGTCTTCTCGACAAGCTCGTCGGAGATTTCATTGAGGTCGAGTGCATCAGCCCCACCTTCATCATGGGCCACCCCCAGATGATGTCCCCCCTCGCCAAGAGCCATCGTTCCGTCCCCGGTCTCTGCGAGCGTTTCGAGTGCTTCGTCGCCACCAAGGAGATCTGCAATGCCTACACAGAGTTGAACGATCCCTTTGACCAGCGTGATCGTTTCGAGCAGCAGGCCTCGGACAAGGCTGCTGGTGATGATGAGGCTCAGTTGATCGATGAGAACTTCTGCCAGTCCTTGGAGTTTGGTCTTCCCCCTACCGGTGGATGGGGTATGGGTATTGATCGTCTGACCATGTTCTTGACGGACTCTCACCGTATCCAGGAGGTCTTGGCCTTCCCTGCCATGCGCCCCCTGTAAACGTTTTCTTTTTCCTTTTTGCTCTGGAGTTTTTTTTCTTCTCATCCATTCATTCTATTTTCGATAAAATATACAATCCTTTTTTTTTTTTTTTTATTCGTTTGTTCTTATAATAATTGCAATGTTTGAGTTCTTATTTACAGAGTTATGAAGATTGGGAAGGATAGAATAATAAGGCACTGCGCGCGCGTGGTGATATGAAGCCGAAGTTGACAAGAAGAGTTGATTGGCCTGGGCATGGGCTGAACTCGGACAGGACAGGGGACAGGACAGGACAAGACAGGAAGGCTGGCAGACTTGACAGAGTGGGCTTGTATTGCAGGGGAACAGAGGGGATCATACACATATCAGAAACAAGATAGAACCGAACAAAGGGAAGGGCAGGGAGTGAGGGGGCCCTTAGATCCTTGGAGTGGATGGACTCTCCTTCGCTCGCTTCTCCGTCCTCCGTCCCCTCCTTCGATAGTTTCCATCATGCAAGACCCCACCCTACCCCAGTCCAACCAACCAACCCAATCCACACCAACTCAATCCCAAAATCATCTCCCTCTCCTCCCCTTGATTCGAGGACCCACAACTCACACCTCTCCCATACATACACACACACACACAAGGCCCGAATACAGATCCACCCCGATAGGCCAAAAGAGGGCTGACAGAGAGACTTAGAAACCCATCATCATCATGGGGACGGCGACAAATCCAGCTGGTCCTCCTCCCATGGCGCCGGAGTAATGATGGACCGGGTATGGACCCGGTGCAGGGTACGACGAGAAGGCGTTCATGGGGTCTTGAGGATGGGTGGGGTATGGAAAGTATTGAGCAGTGGAAAGAGATGGAGGAAATTCCATCCAGAACTGGTGTATGCCCTCCATCATATCCTCGCATGTGGGAGAAGCGGGAGAGGAAGGTACGAAGAGCATTGAGGCTTCTGAGGCTTCTGAGACTTCTGAGGAGGAAGAGGTGTCGAAGGTGGTGGCCAGTGTGGGCTCATAGGACATCAATGGCGATGGGAGTGAAAGCACATTGCTGCCTGAAAAGTATCCTCCGTTTACTGCTGATGCTGATGGTGCTGTACTACTTGACCCCGAGGAAGAAGCTGCTACTGTTCCGGATGAAGTCTCGGCGCCTGGAAGTTGAACGGGCACACGACTGATAGGGTCCACGATTGCAATGGCTCGCGATGTCGTTGGAGCAGGTGTGGAGGGCGAAAGTGGAGGAGAGGCCGACGGAGAATTTGCTAGTGAAGGCGACGAGGCTTCCGAAGGAGGGGAGGAACAAGAAGAAGAGTAGGGGTAGGAAGCGTAGGAGAGCGAGGACGACGGAATGCGTCTCTTGTCCTGGTGGTGATGATGATTGTGCTGATGATGCTGATGCTGGTGTCTCCACCAGCTGGGGCTGGCGGTGGGTGTTCGTCTTGTCTTCTGGATCTCTCGCAGCTGTTTATTATTTTTTTCGTTATGCAATATATATGTTGTGTTCAAGAATGAAGGAGCAAAACAGTGCAAGGCGGTTAGAACACAAAAACTCAATTGCTTTTTCTGCATCTCTTTCTCTCTGATAGACATTGCGCCTGGGAAAAGCATTGCGAGAAAGGGGGAAACTTGCCTCGGAGGGAGAGAGGGAGGGACAAAAGTCAAAGTCGTCGTCAAAGCCCTTGGCAGCCTCGAAGGTCTGCTCATAATAGTCCAGATACATCGCCATTCTTGGGTTGTTTGTCGATTGGAGGAACGAAGGTGGATGTGTGGGAAGAAAGTAGGTAGTGCTTGAAAATGGGAGCTGAGAGAAGGCAAAACAGTGAAGAGAGAAGAGCAAACAGGAGTAAAGGAACTGAAGTTCTAAGGAAGAAGTCGAGTTTGAGGGTGTGAAAGGAAAGTAAAAAGAGAAGGAACATAGCCGGGCGTATTTATTTAGTGAAGGTTGTGAACGATGCAAAACTCAGGAAATGACCACCGCCTATTTGTTTGATCCCATGCCTCTTGCGATCGATGCGGCGGCTTGGATAAAAGAGCTAACTCTCTCTCTCCCTCCATTCTCACAAAAACAGATCCCTCGTTCCGCCACACCACTTCGGTCATCTCCTCCTGTAATGTGTCGATGTGTATTTATTGGGCGTGTACGGTGCGTGTACGTCTTTTTTGTCTCGCTATTCGTTATTCGTTATTCCTGTTGTACACCGTTACTGCTTGCTCCTGCTCTATTCTTTTCCAACAGCGTATAATTATCGTGCAAGAAATGCATGTTTGTGTGTAGGTCGAATGACGCTCCAAAGGGGAGTGTGTCCGCATTGTGGGCGCTTGTTGTTTTTTCTCCTCTATTCTGACACTAATGGGGACAAAGGGTGTTTGTGTTGAAATGCAATAGAGAAAAGCGAGGGGGCTAAGGAAAGAAAAGTAGCGTGACATGACGAAGAAACCCAACTCGGGCTACACCTCCTGCCATGCAAAATAATAAACATAAGACGAGCGTAAAACCCTTCCTTATTCCCTTCCTGGCTAGCATGGTGCTTGCAATCGTTCTTTTCATGCTCTCCTTCAGCCTTGTTTCGCATGTTCCAAAAACGCTGACGATGTTATCCTTGTTGTGGTGTTTTTGTCACGGTTGTTGACATGGTTGTTTGTCATTATCATTATCACTATCATTTTCGCCCGCTCAACAGTTCTTTCTGTCATATACAAGCAAGCAAGAACTTGAAAAACACCTCACGACCGGTCCAAAGGAGACACTTTCAACAAAAAAAATGGATTTCTTTACTACAATTGACAATTAGAGGGGAGGTGTGTGTGTGTTTGATGGATTCTCTTTCATTGCTTACTTGCTAATTAGCAAACCTTTGCACTGAGAAGACGGGACCAATCGATTGAGTGGGGAGAGAGATATTTACAGACGGTCGACATTGCCGAGATCATTGCAGGCGACCTTGACACGATCGATCATGGTCTTCTCGGCCTCACGGACCCAGACGCGAGGATCGTAGACCTTCTTGTTGGGCTTGTTGGCACCCTCAGGGTTTCCGACCTGAGCCTGGAGGTAGCCCTATTAGATTGAGAGACATGCAGCATGCATGATGAGTACACTTGTTTCATGGTAAAAGTATTCGCAAGGCGCTGTCGTTTTTTTTTTTTGGTTCAGTTCAGCCCCATCCCATTCGTACGGCCGAGATTTTTTTGTTGTGTGCCAGCTCTTTTTTTTTGCCCTCCCCTCTTTTCGTCTCGTTGTCCAACTGTCACAAAACAGATCGGAGTAACAAGGCGTTTTCCCTTTGCAATTGGCAGGTGTTGTCGAGGAGCGTCTGTTGTTGGGTGCTGTTGGTAAAAGGGTATTGTTGACGGTTAAAGAAGTGCTGTCGATTGAGGAAGGGTGATGGTTACCTTCTTCTTCTCGTAGAAGTCGCGGATACCGACCCAGTAGGCCCACTGGGTATCTAAAAGTCAAAAGAGAATGCGATGCATTATTGAATGATGAGTACCCTTGCTTGGTCATGCTCCATCAAGGAAAACGGCAAAGCAAACAACCAAACGAAAAAAGAGGAAAGATGAGCTTACCGGTGTCGACGTTCATCTTGACGACACCGTAGCCGACGGCGGTCTTGATGTCTTGCTCGGTGGAGCCGGAACCACCGTGGAAGACGAACCAGACGGGCTTGTCAGACTTGAGGCTGAGCTCCTTCTTGACAAACTCCTGGTGCTTGCCGAGAAGCTCGGGGTGGAGCTTGACGTTACCAGGGGCATAGACACCGTGAACGTTACCGAAGGCAGCGGCGATCGAGAACAAGTCGGTGATCTTGGAGAAGGCGTTGTAGATATCGAGAATGTCCTGAGGCTGGGTGTAGAGCGAAGCGTTGTCGACCTCGGAGTTGTCGACACCATCCTCCTCGCCTCCGGTGATACCGATCTCCATCTCGAGGTGGCAGTTAATCTTGGCCATGCGCTCGAGGTACTTGACGCAGGTCTCGATGTTCTCCTCCTTGGACTCCTCGGAGAGATCGAGCATGTGGGAGGAGAAGAGGGGCTCGCCGTGCTTGGCAAAGTACTCCTCGTCGGCGGCGAGCATGCCGTCGAACCAGGGGAGGAGCTTCTTGGCGCAGTGGTCGGAGTGGATGATGACGGGGATACCGTAGGCCTTGGCGACTTGACGGACGTGGTGGGCACCAGCAACGGCTCCGAGGATGGCAGCAGCCTCGTTCTTGTTGGAGATTCCCTTTCCGGCGTAGTAGGCGGCACCACCGTTCGAGAACTGGATGATAATGGGCGACTTGGCATCACGAGCAGCCTCTATTTGAAGGAGTTGCAGCAGGATCAAGAAGGAAGAAGGCGTTAGCCGTCTCTTCTTTGTCGCGCTTTTTTGTTTCTTTTAATCCTTTCTTCCTTTTTTCTCACACTATCGGTGTTCCGTTGTGGCTCGCGATAAAAAAAATGAATGAATACGCGCCTCTTCCTCCATTCATTCCTTCGTCCTTGCGATCACTTTTTTTTCTTTTCATTGTCCTGATTCACCATCACGCTTTGGTTCTTCTTCCTCATTCCTTCTTCGTTGCAAGTAACAAATACAATACAAAAGAAGATGTAAATTACCAAGAGCGGCGTTGACGGTGGAGGAGGAGGTGCAGTTGATAGCGGGGATGGCGAAACCCTGCTCGGAGGCGTAGGCAAAGACCTTGCGGACGTTGTCACCGGTGATGACGCCGGCGGGAACAATATCGAGGAGACCCATGGTTGGTTGTAAAGGTGGTTGGTTGGTTGGGGAAAAGGGGAGTGTGGTGTGTGGGAAAAAAGAAAGGAAAAGAAGGGAAAGAAGAGAGAAGAGGAGAAGAGAAGGGTAGGGGTGATCCGACCTGCTCCTTTAAATAGGATTCACATATATTGATGATGCAGTGACGGAATGGCTTTTGCTGTAATCATTCACTCACTTACTAACTCACTCGCTCACTCACTCACTACCCCAGACCAATTCAAGTACAAACAGGTCCTACCCGACAGGAAACATGCACACGCGTATATACAAAACAAACAATGAGAAACGCTTGTTCCTCCTCTCCTTCACATTCTTTCTTCACCCCTCACTCTCACTCGTGCGTGCACTCCCGGACGGAACGCGAATCTTGTCCCCGGAGCACCCAAAATAACCTTTCGTGAGAGCGCCCTTTTCTCTCCTCTCTTCTCTGTCTTTCTTTTCCCTTCCATATTTATTTTAATTGCATTGGGGGGGAATGGAACAAACGAAGAGAACAAGTAGAATCTCTTCTTCTTATGTTGCCCGCTTCAATGTGAGGTCCAATGCTTTCTGTGTTGATACTCGGCGAGGCAATGACGATGACAGGGACAAGGAATCAATCCAAGCTGTGTTTCGTTCTCTTCCTTCTCCTTGACGCGTACAGAGAGACAGAGGAACGGGTGTCCTGGAAAGGAGGTCCCATCCTGGTGCCAGACAAGAAAAGAGACTACAAACAAGGTCCCAGACCGTGTTTTGGCTGGGGAAAAGGAGGGTTCCAGATTTTTGTATTTAGACGTCATCGTCCTCGGAATTGGCCGCATACAACAAAGAAGAAAGAAGGGCGCACATGGTATGAATGAGACAGACAAGTTGCATTCTTGATGAGTGTGAAAAGCAAATAGTAAAGGTATATACTATCTTTATTCTTCTTCGTCCCGTGCAAGACATATTGCCACAGGATCTGTTGTCTGCGGCTTCAGGGATCACACCAACAACCCAACCGTCCACCCCTTCCTGTCTCGTGGACCCAAGGGAAAGGGAAGGCCGCATGTGAATCCCTAATCCCACTCCTCGCCTCGTCCACTCCTCAACAACGCTCAACCTGCGTCGACAAAGTGTCCGACAACTGAGTGAGAACAAGTAGCCTTTTCTCAGGAACAAATAGTACATTTTATTTTTATTTTTTGCGGGGTAAAAAAATGTTGGACGTTGGGGGTTTTTGGGGCTTGGGAACGAAATCCTGCAGCTCCAATTCGGCATCCCGACAGCACTTTTTTACTTCCTCTCTCTTCACTATGAGTCAGGCTCGCCTTGAAGGATTAGTGGCACTAGGCGTTCAAAATGAAGCCATCGGCCCCTTCATCGGCTTTCGTTCTTCTTGCCTTGAACAACGGCTTCAGAGAAATGGTTGCCGAGGGCGATCGTAACATCTCTTTCGTGTCATCTTCTCACGCATTGGCAGCCGATCAATCGACACTCATGCTGCCCTTTTCAGGCCTATGCACAGGCCCCGCTTGCAATATTACCCTTGTCCACACCATCCTCTCCCTTCCCTCGCGCATACATTCTTGCATAGCTTTAGATCAACCACAGCATGTATGCATAAAAACAAAAAAATGAAAGAAAAAAAAGGTTTGCTTTATGGGAGGGTTGGTGACCTTTATGCTATGATACATTGAAAATGGGGTGTTTGAAGAAGGTAAATGAAAATAAGAGGAAAGAAACAAGACAAGGAACTGAAAAAGGACGAATAATCTAAAGCTGCTTCTGGAGACGGGCAAGATGGTAGTTGACCGTGTTGACGTTCTTGACCTTCGTGGGCTATTGTTCAAAGTTATTAAAGAGGTAACTGGTTAGTTTCGAGATCATGAACAGGTCCGCAGGGTGGAGGAAGGTGAAATAGAGAGAATTCGGGGCTACGGTAGCTTGCAATGTTGGTTTAGGCGCGCATTGTGTCGCTTATCAACAGTCCAACATGAATCAATTGATGTGCTCATAGTGTCAATGTCCCAATGCTGCTATCCGACAGGTTCATCATGTCATTGTCGATCATAGCCATCAGACTTGGTTTCAAGGACATAGCCCAATACACCAATCTTATCCTTCAGATCCATGGCTGAAGACATCAGAATACTCTGGATCCGGTTGCGATCCTTTTCCTGAATAAATCCTTCCTTGGGCGAAGCTGCAAACTTGTCTGATCCTGGTCCCAATTGCTACAGTAAAAGACTCTCTTTGTGAACATACCAAGTTCTTCATGCAATCGGCGAGCATCTTGGCGGTCTGCATGCACTTTGCATCATCGACGCCCGAGGCAGTCCAGCACTGGATCATGGCACCCATCTCGACAATACAGGGGCTGGCCTCAACGACCTTGCGGGGCTTTGTGCGCAGGTACTTCAGTCTCATGATGTCTTCCTGCTTTTGTTTAATTGGTTGTTTTGTTGATTGGGTGGTTGTTGAGTGTCCGTGAGGCGTCGGTGCAATTGGTTAACGTTGGGTTGAACATAGAGAGTTGAATGGAGTAAGAACGGTATGGTTAGTTGAAAGTTCCAAAATTCTGATCAGTGCCTCTAAAGTTCAATCCTCAGACTTGAGTTTAGCGATTGTCGTGTCCTGAAGCAGTGAGTATTTTTCCGTGCAGTTCGTTGTGAGAGTCAACGTGGTCGTGAGTGTATAGACACATGCCTGTGGTGTGATTGAATGCTTGGTTGAGGTAGCAAAGGATGCAATGCGGATCAGCAAAGACAAGATATCCCGAAACAAAGGTACTGTTTGCCCGGCGGCCGACCGATCCTAATACGTCACCGAACACCAATTTCAGGGCAAAAATTAACTCGGTAAGTCAGGCATACCAGTTTCATACTGGCCTTCTCAACTTCGCCCATCCATTTCTCTCGTCACACATTCATTCACCTCACCTTCCTTCTCTCTCTCTCTCTCATTCACTAGCCCCCTTCACCCACCACGAACAATAGACACTACTTCTCCCCTCCAACAACAACACTACCTCAGATTGCAAACACCTTCTTGAATGCCGCTGACGCGATCCAGCTGCTTCTATGTGAGCTCTCTCTTCTTCCTCGTGGCCGTCACAGGTATCGTAACCACGCCGTTCAACAACCACTTCTCCTTTACTGCGATTGCGGATCGAAAACAATACCACACTTTATCTCTATTCTCTGCTCACCGATTTCCTCTTCTTTGCACGATAACTCGATTATGTAGGAATTTGCATATTTGCGTCCGCATACGATGTGGTCTTCCAGATCTTCCATCACCCCCAAACCGAAGAACCCGACTATAAGAACCTCGCCGTCTTTGGCGGTAGTTATGTCCTCCTGGTATGGCCATCACATTCCGACGTACACCTTTGTGTTCATTTTCGTCTATGCGCCAACTCACTACTAACACTGCTTGCACTTCTTGTGGAATAGGGCTTGTTGGCGACGATCTTTGGGTTCTCGCGATATGTGACTGTGAAAATGGCACGGCAAGAGATCCCAAAGACCTACATGCCCATCACTCACGAGGATCTGCCCAAGGTAACCTCCCTTCTCTCACTTTCATTCGGGATGATATCAGACTGGAGTACAGTGTGTTCAAGATTTAAGGCGCATTTATAGGAAGCAATGGGCATCACACAGGACTAATGCAGAGACCATCTCTATTTGCAATGTATGAATATAGGCTGTGTATGAGTTTGTACAGTCGGAACTGGATCGTGTGGCTCGGCTGGCCAAGAAGGCGACTCCGCTGTTGGAGGATAGTGGACAACCAGGATGGGGCAAACCAGGTAACGCATCTTTCTTGTTATCATGAAACGGTGTGTAACAGGGAGACATTGGACATGGGCGCCTCGTTGACATCAATGGTATTCTTCGCAACTATAGAGAGCTCATTACAGGATACGCACTTCAAGACATTCATGGCCAGCACACCTCACTTCATCGGTAAGGAATACTCGTGTTCAATGGAATGTTCGCCCTTGCCATGTTAACCAAGTCGCAGGTGATTACTGCAAATGCCAGTTCTAATTATTCTTGTTTGAAATTAAAATAGAGAGGGCGGCGGTAGCATACTCCCCAGACTTGGCAAGGCCGCCCAACATGTCAATCTCAGCATATGTGCATATGCTAATCGACCAGAAACTCATCACACGCGACATTGGACTGGAATACATTGCAGGATATGAACAGGCCCGCTTTGGAGGGCCCCGGAACGACACCTCCCCCGTCACCATGTCGCCCTTCCAACCACAGCAGTTGCAGTCTCAACCTTCACAACGGCATCATCACAATCATCACAATCATCATAATCATCACAATCATCACAATCATTACAGACATCATACCTCGTCGGGACGGCATGTGAGGCAGTCTTCTGGGTTGAATCCTCGACATAGCCAACAGAGTCAGAGTCACAGTCATCATCCGAATCATGACCCGTCTACGGCATCTACGATAGGTGGGACGTCACAGCATCTCCCGACTATTGGAAGTAGTATTGGCGGCGGCAGTGGTGGCAATGGCACCGGTACTGGTATTGGTACAGGAGGACGTGAGAATCTGGAGGAGGAGGATTACATCCGGTTTATGAAGGTGTTGAGTCGGATCCTTCAGGAACTCGGATGGGACCAAGCCGCAGAGGAGGCATACGAGGAAGAGTTCCGAGCCCAGGAACGACAACGGGACGCCGAACATCAACAACTCCATCAGGCACAGTATCAGCAGGAAGAAGTTTATGAGAGGGGTCCGGGTGAGAGGGAGTTGGAGCAGACGACGGATTATTATCAGAGTGATGAGGGTGGGTCGACGATGATGTTGCAACCGAGGCGGAAACAGAGTCAACTCAGTGGTGATAGTTATTTCATTGTTGGCAGTAGCCGTGACCTCGAGACCGATCCTCAGTTCCAACCTCACCAGCAGCCTCCTTCACAACCAGGACAGGGGCTTCAGTCATACGTGTATCCGAATGAAGGCGGCAGTCAGAACCAGAACCGGCGGGTGGGCAGCGCTAGTGTTGGCATCATAGGAAGTACCAGTAATAACACAGGGGTCGGAATCCCAGCAGGGGGAAGTGGATCTGGGACGTTCCCGTCGGCGGGTCCACGGAAACTGTCGAGGAGCGGCAACATGAGCACGCGCAGTCTTTTGACCATGCGAACCATGCGAACCGCCAGTAGCATCAGGTCATGGGAGCAACGGTCGTAATATACGTTCGTGAAATATTGTGTCTAGAGGTTGATAGATAAACCCATTAATGAGCGTCAAGTGTTTATGTTTATTTTCTTACTCGCAATCTGCGGCGGAGTAACAACGGTGGTTGTTGTTAATGTAATATGTACTCTGACGTAGGGTACAATTACACCCGCCACCCCATGGGGTTTGAGCGGAACGTTGTGGTTCGAGTGCTCAATGGTAACCACATCACCATGAAAACTAGAGTAAACATGGTGTGTATATACTAGCAACCACGGGTTGAACCAATTAACGAATAATGGAGAGGAGACCAAAAAGGATGGAACGAAGATGTATACATGTGTGCGCGAAATGAGAAGTACGTATTAAATATGGCTAGGATAATTGACTGTCCATACTGTAGAAGAAAGGAAGGTGACGGATGATCAATCGGTGCGATGCTCAGACGAAATGGCGTATGTCTACATTTTGTGTGTGAGTATGAAGTATGTGGTAATTGAGATATGAGATATATAATAATATGGTTTTGGGATGAGCTGTGGGTGTGTTTGTGAATGGGATGTTCATATGCCAATTTCAATTCTTCTTTGTCGGTGATTTTTTTTTTTTTTTTTTTTCGACCGTTGCCACATGGCAAGAAATAAAAACAAACTGCTCAAGGGTCTTGGACTTTGGCCCAAATGGACATGCACGTTGTGCCCCCCCCCTTTCGGCGAATATCGTCTTTGTTTTGACTGTGGAACACGTTTTTGTTTTGAATTAGAATCGTGGCCATGGAAGTGGCAAGTAAATGTACAATATCACGTCAAAGTGATCATTTTTTTTTGTTGTTTTGCAAAAGGTCATTATATTCGTTTCTTCATTAGAGTCATGATGGAGGCATTAAGGTTGAGCGCAAAAGAAAAAAAAGGTTTGTGTTATTACAATGGGCACTGAAAAAAATGGGGTGTGAAGGAGCAATTGAACGGGAGAGAGGAAAGAACTACAGAATAAAAGTACATGCGAAATGGGATGAGGCTGGGCTGGGATATCAAAAAGGTTGAAAATGAGTGAGAGCGGGTGGAAGAGTATACAGTTGGAGAGTGAAGGAGAGGGATTGTTGGGTAAAGAAGAGAGCACAAAACGTGGCTAATTGTTTGTTTTTTTTTTCTTGATTCAGGACAGGACAGGATTTAGCACATGGCACGGCTTGTGGCACCAGTGGCAGCAGCCCAGGCACCATGGCGGCCCGTGGAGGTGGACGAGGTCGAAGTCTGGTGATGACCATATACTTGGTATTGGGGGTGGACCGAGGATGAAGAGGTACCAGACTGGTAGTGCTTGTATCCAGGGTTACCAGTCAACGAAGAGGGAGGCATGGAGTGACGACCATAGACGGGCCACGACCGTTGAGCACCAGTGCTGTTCATTTGCTCGGGAGAGCAAGATGCCGAAGCCGAAGCTGAGACGGGCGTCATCTCCTCATCCGAAGTGGAAGAAGAGCGCTGGTAAGCGGCGTCAGCACTACCGTCGGGGGATGGGTAATGGCTCTGATGGTGATGAGCATGCTGCTGTTGATGAGCGCCATAATGGTGCTGCTGGTGCTGGTACTGCTGATGCTGGTAGTAATGACCCTGGTGGTGACTACGGAAGGGACCCCCAACCTTGTTTGCATACCCATGCAAAGTCTCGCCCTCCTCCAAACAAGGCTGGTTAGGCAAAGAAGGTCTCCTCCTGAACACATCCTGAGGCTGCTGCTGTTGAACAATCTGAGGCATCTGGAACTGTGTCCGGCTACCACGGCTGCCAATTGATCCACGCTTGTTGGAGCTAACCTGGTTCAAAGGCGTGGTCTGGTAAGTGCCACTGCTACGGGGAGAGGGGGTCGTAGGCGAGACCATTGCCGAAGAAGACGCGGTGGTTGCAGATGCCTTAGAGACTGTCGTAACAACAGACAGAGGGGTCGAGGCATAACGGCTGTTGCGCCTTTCAGTGGCGGTGGTAGATGTGGTAGTGGGCGCAGACACGGTTTGCTGCTGTTGAAGGAAGTCTTGAAGGGAGGAAGCCAAGTCAGCCTCGGTGATACGAAGGTCAAAATCCTAAAAAAGAATGACAGACAAACAAAGCGTCATTGTGCGTTAGTTATACCAATCCTCATGGCAATTGAGAGCGCAGGGGAGGGGAAGGGGAAAGGGGGTAAACGTGGTTGGGATGGATGGGTGGAAAGGGGACTCGATCATACCCGATGCACAAACCCAACAAAAACAAAAAAAAAATCAACAAAGCTGCGGAGAGGGGCTTAAAAAAGGTAGGGGGGTACAAAGCCAAGCATAGGGGAAGAGAAAGCATGCAAAGCACACAGACAAAACTGTAGAAATACATACCAGGAGGGCAAGGAGCTGCTTCTCCATGAGGTTGACCTCGCCGACAGAAAAGACGGTCGAGTGGGCAGACCAATGCTTGTTCTTGGGTGACTGGTCATTGAGGTACTTTGCGGCGACGATCAAGCTGGCCAAGAAGACGCGGTGGCAGGTGCAATGCATTCCTATTAGCGTGAGACCAAGACAAGTGCGGAGAAATAGGATACAATAATGTTAGATACATGAATGAATGATGATTGTAAACGATGGACGATTAGAGTCATCGGATATCGATGAGTGTGTGTGAGAGAAAATGGATGAGCGATGTGAATAATCGCGTTGCGATGAAGAAAGCGTTGTTGTAGGAATGTGTGAGTGGATTTAGGAGAGTGTGAATTAGAGTGAGCAGGTGTCCCGCGTGGTTGATGTTGTTTGTATGCTTGAGATGCATGCAAAACACACATGCCAGCGACAGGGCCGATCGTTGGTCGGTATGCAAATGGAAAAGGGGAAGTTGTCGGTAGTTCGGTAGGGAAGGAAGGAACCAAGGGAAGTACAGCGTAAAGAAAGTGGCATATGCTTGGTTGAAAAATGATTCCATAGGGGTGGGTATGTGGTTATGGCAAATTCAAGGGGTGAATTGGAAGAGAAGGGGGAACATGGAGGTGCCTGAAAGAATAAGGGTAAAGGAGCCCAAGAAAAAACAATAAACCCAAACATATACACGGGAAGCCATAAAGTAAATCGGATTCAATTGAGTTGGAAAAGAGGGCATCATGATGACATGCATCCGCTAGAAAAACAAGCCGGTTTCCGCGTAGGCTGTTCGGGAAGGGAAGGGAGAAAGAGAATTGACAAGAAAGGAGGGGGATGCTGGTTCAGGCACAGCCCTTGGCCAAAGCCCATCCATGATAATAAACAGAGCTGGCGAAGAACACTTATTCCCATATGGGTTCGATTGGGTCTAGAAAGACACCAACCATCCCAGGCTGAGAACAAAAGAATAGATGCAAGGATGCAATTGAAAGGAAAGGGGTGGAGTAAGGAGGCATGGTAAGGTGGGTTGGATGGTATTTACGAGCATCCATCCCATCCCAAGAGAGACGATGAGGGGGAAACAAGGGGCAAGGGGTGTCAGGGCGGCGGAGTAAAAAAAAAGAGTTTTTGTGTTTTCTTTGACTTGGACTACATTTGGACACATGAGGATGGGCAAACAACAACAGAGATGGCCCGAGTGAAGGCAAGGTAAAGGGGAGCAGAGCAGGGAGGAAATATACACAAGAGAGAGGTAGGGCAAAATAGGGTCGTGCATTGGCACAATTCAAATAGAAAGAAAACGTAACCAATATATCCATATATGTCCGCATCGCCGTAAAAGATTGCGCACAAACAAGATTGGGGGGTTGGGAAAACCAAGGCGAAAAGAAAACCAAAGTGATGAAAGAACCATGGACCACCATGGTTGTGGTTGGTTGCTTGGATGATAAGAATATTACCTTTTGCTGCGACTGGGAGCTTGTGCTTGAGACGTTCCAGATAGACGAGGGTAGGAAGAAGAGTCGAGGCCTGGACATTGGAGTTGAGGACGAGTATCCGGATAAAGTCGTTCAATGGCGGCACTACTACTGCTGACCCCGTTGTCGTTGACGCTGCTGTTGATTCAGTACTGCTACATAATGATGAAGATGAGCTGTGGTGGGCGGGTGTGCTGGGTGGGGAAGGGAGAGTGTTGGCATAGGCATCGACCGGGGAGGGTGGTGGGCTGCACTCGATCACCGTGCTGGCGTAGTTGGCAATGTGATCTACAATTACATACAATAGGGCGATGTTAGGACCATTGGCTTTGCTCTGCTGCTTTGCTTTTTTTTGATTGCTTGTTTTTGTCGACTCTTTTGCTTGGTGTACCACCATGAAAATAATAGAAACGAGACACGCAACTACACGCTGTTTGCTGTTGTTTTTGTTGTTGCCTGTTTTGCAGACATGGTTGAAAGAAGGAAGGAAAGAAGGGGAAAACATACCGATCATTTGAGGGGTGACTGGACTACGAAACAGCCTCTCGAGGGCACGATTCGAGTATGCTTTTGGTTCAGCAAGAGAAGGCATTGCTGTATGTATGTGTTAGCGGAAGGAGGAGGGAGGGAGGGAGGGAGGGAAGGAGGGAGAGAAGAGTAGAAGAGTGTGTGGTGGAAGGATGTGTTGATGTGGGAAGAGAGGGCGAGAGTGGCGGTGGTAAGAATGAATGTGCTGTTGTTGGTGAACTGAAGGAGAGGAAAGGCAAGGGAGGAGGTGAAGGTGTAGTGAAGTGAAGAGCAAGAGGAAGAGGGTCTGTGTGACTGTGTGTGAGGATGACGATGCGTTGGATGTGGTGGTCAATGGTATCGAGAAGAGGAGTGAGGAGAGTGTGGAAAGCAATTGAAGAAAGCGAGAAGAGAGAGGAGAGAGAGGAGAGAGGAGAGAGAGTAGAGAGTAGAGAGTAGAGAGTAGATATACAGGTTGAAAGATGAAGAGGACGATGAGTGAAAACAAGAAGAAATCGAATCGGGGATGAGGAAGAGGGTGGCCTTCTTTTATACGATGGGCCAAGCAAACAGTTGTCCAAGGCGGCTGGACGCGATAAAACAAGACAAAAAAAAAGACAAACGAACATCCGTCGACCGACCGCAGACGTTGGGCGTGGTTGAAGAGGAAGGGAATAAAGAGTAATGGCTCAATTGAAGGAAGAAGTTGACTCAATTGAATAGAGTAGAGAATTAGTTTGGTATAAAACAAATAAACAAACAATTCAAAAGAAAAAAGCGCCGAAAGGAATAAAACGAATGGACCATCCATTTGGACGGGCAGGAAAGAGGAAGAAAAAAGAAGAGCGGAGGAGAAATACAAATAAAATTTATTATATTTCAATTCAATAGAGAAAAATCAGGGGGGTTGGTTGGAGAAGAGTTTTCGCTCGATTGAATATGTGATCCAATACAATCGAAAGGAGCAGTCTTCTTTGCTGGTTGCTGGTTGCTGGATGGAAGAAGGCTGGCTGGAAGGGAAGAGAAAGGGATGGGATGTGCAGAACAAAGTCTATAGCAAAAAAAAGGGGGGTCAAACAAGTAGAAGACAAAGGAAAAGTGGTTGAGCCAGGACGAGCATCTCCATAGCTGATAATTCACCTTTCTACGAGTGTTCAGTAACAATAGCATTAAAGAAACAGCAGGACAACGACAAGACAAGGACAAAGACATGCGGCCACCCTTCTGCCTGTTTGTTGTTCCTCAATGAATTATTGTTATTATCATTCGAGTTGGAATGGACCGTGCCTTCTTTCTTCTCTTTCTTCTCTCTCTCTCTCTCTCTCTCTCTCTCTAGTTCTCACTACAGTGTAATTGTCCTTCCCTTGCGCCCGACCTGCGTCTTTGTTGATAGGGCACCCTCATTTTTTTTATTCTTCGTAGGAGAACAACTTATTGTTGTTCGCCACCTGCAATAGAACAAGAAGAATCGCTTTGGTGACAAAATGTTCACCTAACTCTGCTCCTTTTCTCCAACGAAACCATCTACACTCACTTTTCACTCCTTATGCTCTCTCTTCTCTTACTTCATCAAAATAGAACAGAGAGAGAGGCTGAGAACATGAGCGACCACCTGGCACCCTACTCCCAGGTTCCACCTCATGTTACAACAATAACTATTGTTGCTTCAACTATTATTATCACCATCACCATTGGAATCATCTCCTTATCCAGCCATCAAAGGACGCCACCTCTCAAGCTTCAAGGGTTAATCTCAAACAAACCCCATTCACGTCCGACTAAACGCGACACTCGTTTGATAAATACGCCAAAAAGCCAAAAACTGCCAGAACATCCCATGTTACGCGTTTGAACTACCCCAGCAACAATAGCATCCGACTAGGGTACTAAAACAACAATACCCATTTGATGCAACCTAATACAGCGGTAACGACCCCCGGATAAAACAGGCCCATGAAAACGCCTCAATGCCCTCGAATGAGATAAAAAATACGGCTGATGTATTGCAGATGACAGATTCCTGGAGCAACTATAATACCCGAACTGCCAGTGAACTGTGAACTGCGCGCGTACATCACACCGCATTACGCATTCGCCTCGCTCTCATTTTGCCACTCAAAAGAGGCGGCGGAGAGAAAACGGAGCAAGGGAAGCGAAAGTTGAGAGGGAAGGGAGGAATAATAAGGAACCCGGAAGGGAACCATTTTCTGCTTTCCTACTAACTTGTTAGCGCAGTGAAAATAAATCCAAGGAGACAGGAAAGAGAAATGAAGCAAGGGAGGAAGACGAAGAGGAAGAGAAGCATCGGCGAACATTTTTTTGTCATGCAGATAGAACAACAAAACGACAACAAAATCAAACAAACATGTACACGGCGACCCTTCTTGCTGAGCTTTCCTGCGCCGCTTGAGGAGAATGGCGAACGACGACGGAGGCGCGCTTGTTCATTTCTAGCTTACCTGCCTGCTTGCTTGCCAGATTGGATACTGCTGCTACTGCCAGATTGGATGCTCAAAGCTCACTACTCAAGATGCCTCTCAATCGATTTCATATTTGATACGACTGCTTTGTAAATCTGATCTGGATCTGTCTTGCATCACAACTCTCGTTCCTCTTCTCTGACTGACCCATCAACCATCTTTTGCTCTTTCCGCGACTCGTTTCGTAGTACTATGTTACTCGTCCTTGGTAGACAGACGACATTTGTCAGTTGAAAAGGGCGGGCGTTAGTTACAACAATACCGATTCAGGGAGCCACCTACTTTTCTTCGAACGAACAAGCGAATTAACGATCTTGAGAGGGAGAGAGAGAGAGCAACACCCATCGTGAAAGAAAGTGCTGAGGCTAGCAAAAGGATGAAGTCAGAACTGTGCAATAGTCAATCACCCTTTTTTATGGACAATTGCCCTCTCTCCTTTTTTCACTCTCGCTCACTCACTCGCTAATCGAACCCAATGGTGTTACAGGCTAAACGAAAAAAACAACGGGATTTTCTCTTGTTTTCGGTGTAGTAGAAAAAGAGTCCGAAGAACGGATAGTAATAAACAGACAAAGACCCGACAACGATCAACTGAACTCGACTCGCAACTCTCCCCCCCCCCCTTTCTCTCCTTCGCTGCCTCTTCTCTGTGTTTATGGACCTCGTCAATATCCCATCCCAAGAAAGAAAAAAGGGATGAAATTGCGATGGAGAACACCAATACCATTCGGAACAAGAAGAGAAGAGAAACCCAAACGGAAAACAGATACTTGTTTTTGAACGGGTTAAAAATGAAGAGAGCAATGCATATGTTTCTTTGGGAGAGTGCCCTTTCTCCTCATCTTTCTCCTCCTCGCTCAGCGAACAGGGAGAGAGAGAGGAAGAGTAACAAAGAGAGAGAAGAATTGGGAAAAGGAGTTGGCTCGAGACCAAAAAAGAAAGAAAAAGAGGGAGACAGAGAGAAAAGGGAGGGGAAGGAGAAAGTAACAGGAAGGGGGAGAGGAGGGTCAGGGTAGAGGAGCTTGATTCTGTTTGCTCCTGCTCCTGAACGCTCGAGCGTCCTAGTCTTTATTTATTCTTTCTTTGTTAGTTGGTCGTGTTGATGATTATTGTCTCCCTCTTTTTGAGCATTCACCCAGAGATGAACGGAGGATTGGAGGGGTACGTCGTAGAAAAGAGAATAAGGGAGGAAGAAGAGGGAGGCGCAAGAGGGTTGTTTTATGTTTGCCATTTCGCGATAGTCTTTTCTGCGGCATCTTTCTACAGAGACACGGCCATTTTTTTTCTTCTTTGTTTTCCTTGCGCGTGTTTTTTTTTTACTTGTTATCTCCGGCAACTGCGACTACAGCATAGAAAGCACACACAGACATGCACGATCGCGTATTTTCTCTTCCCCCTCCTCTATGCACCATCTATCTTTCCTCCCCTTTCATTCTCTTCTTCATTCTCTCCTCAATTTTTTTTCTCCACTTGTGGCTACTGCTCTGCATTGTTCTAGCCATAAAAAATTGAACATGAACCAATCGAGAGATCTTGGTGCAATCAAGAATCCGCTTTCCTTTTTCCTTCCCTTCCTTCCTTTCCTTTCCCTCCTCCTTCCTGTTTGGTCCCCCTCCCCCTTTGATGATGTGGCGCCAGGATGGGAACTATAGTTCATCTATTCTACATAAAACAAGTAATAACGACCAAGACCCTTGCTCTTTTCTTTTGTTCAATTGCATTGGTTCCTCGCCTTCCCAAATGCAATAACACGCAAATTGCAGCTGTACTCAATAAACCTTATTTGCGTTTATTTCGTCAGGGGAGGAAGAGAAAGAAAGGGGGTACCATAGTCCATTTACTTTCTTGTTATCCTTTTGCTTGGTCTGCCCTTTGTAGTGGCATGGCTGTTCAAAGAGACAAAGCGCTACTTTTTTCACCCGAGCGAACGGGGGTGGAATAAGAAGGAGGGTGAAAAAAGAGGGGGATAACGATGATACAAACGGGAAGAAACAAGGCAACAAAGCTACAAAGAAAAAAATAGACTAGAAAATAGAGATGGACGTGCAAATGATAACAAACAGAAAAGTAGTCGATCAATCCTGAGAGGCAGGATAAGGATTGCCACCCGGGATTGTCAACCCCTTCCCCCACTTCTTCGTTCCCTTTTTCCCATTAGAGGTCGCCTTTCTCATTAGGGTCTCTTATTACTATTAGCTTTTGTTGTTGCAAATGAAGGACAGGAGGATAGAGCAATTAGAAAAAAACGCGCCTTTCGTTTTCTAGGGCTCAATTGCAATTTGTGTGCAAGAACAACAACAAGGAGAAGGATATATACATCCTTGTTCTTGTACTTTTCTGTCTGTTCCTTTGAGAGGGTGTCTAATAGACCATTTTGTCTCATGAACAAGTGTATGTATGCGTCTATGAGGAGGTGTGTGCGTGGACGATCATCCACCCATCCATCTCCCTTTTTACCTTAATTTTGGTATCGTGAACATTGTAATAAAAAAAGGAGCAAAGGAAAAAAAAGGAATGATCGATGTAGGTACGTAGGAGAGGACAGCAAAAAGTATATGTGGGATGGGATGGGTATCTATGTGGAGTACCATCAGCGCACAAACCC